CCTGCTCCTTGCAATGCACCAAACTTGCCAAATTTTCAGATAAATATTCCCATAGGTGAAGTATTTTGGGACCCGACGTTTCCCATCCCACCCGGATATGCACCAGTAATCCCCCCTGCAATTACAGTCAACAATTTTACTATTGACTTGTACTGGATACAACAAACAGCTTTAAAATCTAAAATGTGAACAAATTCTGATGTTTATTGTTACAAAACCGTATATACCTAAATATTTTTTATCCAATTTTTTTAAAAATAAGAAAATTAATATTTTAATTTGTCAGAGATCATTATTTATCAATAATAACAATTCATCACTAATTTCACAACATTCTTGTTCAAAGAAGTCATTTAACTATAAAAAATCACCATGTAAATCACCATTGAAATTAAATTATGTTCATAAAATTTATAATTCTACACCGCCATCAAATAATTCATCATTACTTGTTAAAGAAAAACCAATATCTAAAAAATTTAATGAAATAATTAACATTATAAAAGTTAGTGATAGTAAGGAGTATTAACTTTTGCAACAAAAGTGTTAAATGATTTTACAGGATATTCTGTTGTAGAAGACTTAAAGAAAAAGGTTATTCAGCAAGGTAAATCAATAGATGAAATATATATACATATACACCATATAATGTGATAATTGTTGAGATATTGTAAATTTTTAATTTTGTGAATAATTATTTTTATTTTGTTATTTGACAGAGAATAAATTGGCAGAAGCACGAAAACAACTTGAAGATGCAAAACTTTCATATGAGAATGCCATATCTATAAGATCAAATACACAACGTGAAGTTAGTGAATTATTACAACATAAACATTTATGGACAAATGATGATGTGATCAGATTTACAGAATTGTATCGTAATGAACATTTAAATGAACAAAAAGAGATGGCAGCCAAAGATGAATTTCATAAATGTGAAAAAATGGTCGAGACAGGTTACACCAAATTGACTAGGATGATGATGATGAGGTATCATGAAGAACAAGTTTGGAGTGACAAGATTCGTAGTGCATCTACATATGGTACAATTTCCTTGATATTGCTTAATTTTATATTGTTTATTTGTGTACAAACTGTTTTTGAACCAAGAAAAAGACAAAAATTGGCTGATAAATTTGAAGAATTACTTATTATAAGATCAAATGAAGAAGAGGGTAGACTTAAAAATGATATTTTTCAATTACTTAAAGAACAGTTACAAAAATTGGAAAAAAGATTTAATGAATTACTAAATGTTCCAACAATAACAACAGCAACAACAACACCATCATCATTGATTTCAAATGAGCCTAAAGATATAACGCTTCAAAATAGTTTTGGCGACCAACACTAATTGTATGTGGTTAAAAAATACGCTCAATTATTGAACTGCTTATTGGGCTTTATATAAATAAAATAAATAATAATAATAATAATAATAATAATAATAATAATGAATAGATTAAAAATTAAAATACATACTCGTCGCATTTATAATTTTGGTTTCTAGTATACTGTAGTTTTTGTCATTGTGAAGAACGAAAGAGGCTAGCATAAAAATTATAAATAATAAGTTGACCAAGTTAAAAAACAACCGATTGGCTGACTAACTAGTTAGTTAGTTAATTATTTAACATTTCAGTGCTTCGCTCATAAGAGTAGGGGCAAAAAAACCGTTTTGTAAGAAAACATTTCCCAATTAAATAATTTAATAAAAAAAAAATAGTTCTTTTTCGGTTAGTTAAACATTAGGATTTAATTGTTTATCTATTATCATAATGGTATAGAACCCTGAGGTTTGTTAATGTTGTGGTAGTAAAGTTTTGGCAAAGGTTTAATTTCTGTTTACGTTTCTGTTAACGTTTTTTTAAAAGTGTTAAAGTATAAACGTAAGGTGTTAAAACGTTCGGCAAGAGTATAAAGTGTTACCGATTGTTATGGATTAACCAAATATAAAATGCTGACATTTATTAATCAAAGTCGTATTGTCTTGTGTCAAAATAATTGTTGTGAACGTATGGCTGTTAAAAGAAAATTAGTTTAAAAATAACCTTTAAGCGGCCAAAAGTAAATAAAAGGGAGCTTTAGAAAAGTCTTTGTCGTTTTCTAAAAGGCCGATTTATTTGTACCATAAAGCGTGCTTACGGATCGCTGAAGTCTAGGTACAATAAAGAGGCAAGCAGAAAATTGTTAAATAAATTCGTAAAATAAATTAATTGACGAGCATTGAATATAAAAAAAAGCAATTAGTCGACGAGTATAGTATATAGCTAAAAAGTTAATTCAAACTCAGCCATAAACGCAAAACAATTAGCATTAGCCAAAAAGCTTGCCTCGCACTATAACTATAATAAAAATCAAAAATTACACAATTTTAGCCTCTCGCTTGTATGTGATGTTCTCCAACATTTGCTTACCAATCTTCTCCCATAAAACATTATGATGGATAGATGTGAAGAGAATATGCAGTATGTAGTTAGTCCTAACAACTTTTGTTTATAAAGAGTTTAAAAGCAAAATGCCTAGTGTTTATCATTCTAAGAAAATCAAAACTAATTAATGTCTCATATTGATTGGTTTATATGTGATATTTTTTGTGATCTGCATAATGATGTATGACGAAATGTTTTTGGAATTGAGAAACTATTTCGTCAAATCACTAATACTAAAAAATGATGAAAGACTAAACCCTTGACAAAAGTCAAAACCCTTGACAAAAGTCAAAACCTTTGACAAAAGTCAAAACCCTTGACGAAAATCAAAATTATTGAAGTCATTGGTGAAACAAAAAATTAAAAGTAAAAACCATATCTAATTTTTATTATATAAAATATATTTTTTTTATATTATCAAACAATTATTTAAATTTCTGTCTTTTATTTCTTACAATTTCATTATCAACA